CTCAGGATGGATCCAGAACCTTCTGGAAGAACCTCAGCACCCTCAGGATGGATCCAGAACCTTCCGGAAGAACCTCAGGACCCCCCGGGACACGCCCGGATCCGGCTTTGCCTCATCCCCATCTCCCCTTTTTCCCGCAGGGCTCCGGGCGGCCGTGACCCTGCTGGAGTCCGGGGGGGACCTCCAGCCCCCCGGGGGGTCCCTGCGCCTCCTCTGCCGAGGGCAAGGATTCACCTTCGGGAACCACGACATGTTCTGGATCCGCCAGAGACCCAGGAAGGCGCTGGAATGGGTCGCGGGCATCTACAGCGATGGTGGCACCACCAGATACGCGCCGTCGGTGCAGGGCCGGTTCAGGATCTCCAGGGACAACGGGCAGAGCTCGGTGACGCTGAGCATGAACAACCTCCAGGACGAGGATTCCGGGGTTTATTTCTGTGCCAGATGTTTTAATAATGGTTGTGGTGGTTATGCTGCTGCTGGTTTTGGTGACGATGCCGGTGCTGGTCCTGACCCCCCTTGATGAATCCCCAAACCCCCCAGAATTCCCAAATCCTGCCCCGATCCCAGCCCTGGGCCCCAAATCTGGGCCCTTTCACCCCAAACTCGGCCCCTGCTGCCCCAACTCCCGCGTTTCTCTGGAGCTCGCAGCGTCTGAGCCAGAGCCGACTCTTCTGCGCCGCGGGGAGATCCCAAACGGAAGGAAGGGAAATTTGGGGAGGGATTTTATGGTTTTGTTCAGAGCCGGGGGCACAAGGCCGGAGCCAGAGGAGATCGGTGAGCGCGGGGATGGAACCCACGGCTCAGGGGGGCGGCTGTGGGGTGCGACTACCAAATCCTGGGGGTTTCACCCCAAAAATCGCCCCGAGGGCCGAGGGTCGGGATTGGGGTCAGGGGCGGAGATCTGGGGCAGAGGGATGAAAGTTTGGGGTAAAAATGGGTGAAATCTGGGGGAAAACCTCAAAATTTGGGGGCTGCACCTTCAAAATTTGGGGGAAAAAGTCCAAATTTGGGGGAAAAAGTCCAAATTTGGAGGAAAAAGTCCAAATTTGGGGGAAAAAGTCCAAATTTGGGGGAAAAAGTGGAGATTTCGGGCTGCAAATTGATGATTAACCCCAAAAGGATTAATTGTTTGTATTAATTTATGGTGGTTTGGGTTTAAATCGAGTTTGAGAGCAAATAAGTTCAATTATTAGCGCTGACAAAAGGAATTATTAACCGACATTTACAGATAATAACCTTAATTATAAAGCTTAGAAGGAAATCACGTTAATTAAAATGGAATTCGAATTAAGGGAGTTAAATAAATTAATTGCCTGGTGTCACGTAATGAATAATTTTAATTATATTTTATTTATTTGATATATATTTATTTTATTATATTACTTAATGGTTTAGTATTATTATTATTAGTATTAGTATTAGTATATTTAATATTATATAATTTAATATAATAATTATATAATAATATAAAATACATAAAATTATATAAAATAATGTAATAAATATATAATGAACCATATAATGGTTTATCATATATTATTATTTTATTATATTAATTAATTAATGGTTAGCCGAAATAAAGTTAATTATTCACATTAATTGAGGGGGTTTTTTTGTGGGGCTTTAATTGAGTTTAAACCTTAATTACCAGCCCTAATTACTCTAATTAAGCTCCCTAATTAGCGCCCAGCCCGTGCTGCAGGTGCCGAGAGCTGCAGCTGCAGCGAAAGTGAAATTTGGGGCCCAAATTTGGGTTTTTTGGGGCTTTTTTGGGCTTTCCGGGCGCTTTGGGGAAGTCCCGAGGGGAGAAAAACCGGAGATTTTGGGGGTTGGGTTCATTTTGCTCCTCGGTGAATTCTCCCTCGGTTCCTTCTTTTCTGCACTTTTTAACAGAAATTTTAATTATTTTGGGGTTTTTTTAATTGGTTTTATTTTATTTTATTTTATTTTATTTTATTTTATTTTATTTTATTTTATTTAAATTAATTTTATTTTATTTTATTCTTTTTTATTTAATTTTATTTTATTCTCTTTTATTTTATATTAATTTTATTTAAATTTATCTTAATTTTATCTTTATTTTATTTTAATTAATCTTATCTTATTTTATCTTATTTTTATTATATTTAATCTTATTTTATTTTATTTTACTTCACTTATTTCATTCTATTTTATTTTATTTTAGTTTTATTTTATTTTATTTTATTTTATTTTATTTTATTTAATTTTATTTTATTTTACCTTATTTTTATCATATTTAATCTTATTTTATCTTATTTTTGTTTTGTGTTACTTCGTCTTTTTTTAATTTTATTTTAACTTACGTTATTTTATTTTATCTCACTTTTGTTCTATTTTAGTTTATTTTATTTTAGTCTAGTTAACCTAAGTTTAGGTAATTTAATTTAATTTAATTTAATTTTATTTTATTTTATTTTATATTTCTTTCATTTAATTTCATTTCATTTTATCTTAATCTTATTTTATCTTATTTTATTTTATCCTATTTTTATTATATTTAATCTTATTTTATTTTATTCCATTTCATTTTATTTTATCTTATTTTTATTTCATGTTATTTCATCTTCTTTTATTTTAACTTACGTTATTTTATGTTATCTCACTTTTATTTTATTTTACTTTAGTTTAGTCTAATTTTAAGTTTTTTTATTTTATTTTATGTTATCTTCCTTTTATTTTATTTGATCTTATTTCATTTAATTTTCTTATTTTTATTGTATTTAATCTTATTTTTTCTAATTTTTATTTTATGTTATTTCATCGTATTTTTATTTTATGTTATTTTAGTTTAGTTTAGTTTAGTTTAATTTCAAATTATTTTAGTTTATCTTTATTTTATCTTATTTTATCCTATTTTTATTGTACTTAATCTTATTTTTTCTAATCTTTATTTTATTTTATGTGATTTCATGCCATGTTATTTTATATTATTTAATTTAATTTATTCGAATTTAAATTATTTGAACTTAATTTATTTGAATTTAATTGAATTTAATTTTTTATGTTGTTTTTATATTTTATTTTTTATTATTTTATTTTTTATTATTCTATATTATATTAAATTTAATTTAACGTATTTTTTATCTTCTCTTAATTTAAATTTGTTTTAATTTAATTTAAATTTTATTTTAATTTAATTTAATTTCATTTTTTTATTGATTTATTAACATCTCTTAAAGTTAATGAAATCTTATTACGCTTCATTATTAATTATTAATAAAACCCTGATTTCAAGAAAGGAATAAATAATTTCATTTTCTTCTCTATTTTATTCGTTATTTTCATTTTTTGGAATTGATGGGAATTTTTTGATGATAAAATGGAATTAAATGGAATTAAAATTTGAAATAAAACGGACGGGAAAAAGTGGAAAAAAAATAAAATTATCTAAAATAAAATGAAAGATGAAGTAAAAAAATAATTTTGTATATTTGTATTTTATTTGTATTTTATTTTATTTTATTTTATTTTTTATAACTTATTTTTTCTTTTATATTTTATTATTTTGTTATTTCATAATTTCATATTTTATTTTATTTTTACTTTATTTTATTGTTATTATTTTTATAATATTTTATTTTATATTATTTTATTTGTTTTGACTAAACTTAATTTTATTTTTATTTTATTTTATTTTACTTTATTTTATTTTATTTTATTATTTTATAACTTATTATTTCTTTTTTCTTTAACATTTTAATTTATTATTTTGTTATTTTATAATTTCATATTTCTTTGACTTTATATTATTATTTTATTTTATTTTATTATTTTATAACTTATTATTTCTTTTTTCTTTAACATTTTAATTTATTATTTTGTTATTTTATAATTTCATATTTCTTTGACTTTATATTATTATTTTATTTTATTTTATTATTTTATAACTTATTATTTCTTTTTTCTTTAACATTTTAATTTATTATTTTGTTATTTTATAATTTCATATTTCTTTGACTTTATATTATTATTTTATTTTATTTTATTATTTTATTTTATTTTATTATTTTATTTTATTTTATTATTTTATTTTATTTTATTATTTTATTTTATTTTATTATTTTATTTTATTTTAATTTAATTTAATTTAATTTTTATAATTTTATTTCATTTTATTTCATTTTATTTTTATTTTATTTGTTTTTCCTTATTTTGCCGTATTTTAAAAAGAACAATAAAATAAATAAAATTAAAAAAAAATCAAAGGAAATTAAAACGATAAAAAATTAAAATTATTTAATCAAAGGACCCACAATTAATTAATATAAAATATTTTATATTTATTTCCATTATTTAATTCACAAATTAAAATAATTACAAGAAATGGGATAAAGGGAAAAAAGCGGAATTGAGAGGAAAAGTTGAATAAATAAATTTATTAATTTATTAATTTATTAATTACATTATTAATTACATTTTTAATATAATTATAATTAATGATAAATTTATATAAATTAAAATAAAATGAAAATGAAATAAAAAAGAAATAAAACAAAGAAAAATAAAGGGAAGAAAGAATAAAAATAATAATTGGAATTAACGGATCGATAAATGGAATTAAAAAATTAAAATAAATTGAATAATTAAATTTTAAAATTTAAAATTTAATGAAGGGAATCAAAATAAAAATAAACAGAAAGTGGCAAAAACCGGAAATCTGCAAATGGAAGAGGAAATGGGTGAAATAAATGAAATAAAAATAAATTAATGCGGATAAATTAATTAAATTGAGGAAATAAATTAAAAAATAAACGGAATAAAATAAAAGGAATTAAAGGAATGGGTTTTTTAATCCATTATTATAAATAAAATCCCATAAAACAAAAGAAATGCGGGAGAATTGCAAGGAAAAGTAAATTAAACAATTCAAAATAAATTTATTTTAATTAAAAATAAGTTTATACAACTTGAAATTAAATTAATTATACAAAACAAACCCAAATTAATCGCAATCAATTCAACTCAACAAATTAAACAAATTAATTTCAATTGAACAAATGAAACCCGATGAAATAAAAGCCAAAAAAAGCAAGAAATAAAGAATGAAAATCGAAATAAAATTTTAATTAAAAAATTAACGAAAATAAATTCCCACAATTCCCCAGGGGCGCAGTTTCCCGCCTCTCCCTCAGCGGCGGGCTCTGATTGGCCGAGAGGAAAGGGCAGGAGCCAATCAGCGGCGAGCGCGGGAAAAGCGGTTGCGGGGGGGCCAAAATCCGCCCAGCGACGGCTTCTGATTGGTCGGGACGCGACCCCGGGAACCAATCAGAGGCGGGGACCCAGCGAGACCCGGCCTGGATTCCCTGAGGGAGGCACGAAACCCCCCCCCCCAAAATCGCTCAAATTCCCCCCAAAATCGCCCAAATCGTCCCCGAAATCCCCCGAATCCACTCAGAGCCACCAAATTCCCCCCCAAATCCCTTCCCGGACTCCCAAGATCCCCCCCAAAAACACCAAAATCCCCTCAGAGACCCCAAATCCGCCCCGAACCCCGAATTT